CGACGCATTTGAGCACAATATATATAACAGATTACTGTAGGTCTTATTTGCAAAGGCAAAACAAATTTCATCTTACAAAAAGAAAGTTCTAAGAATCACACAGCTGGCTGTCAAGGTCAGAATTAAAGCCTGTGAGAGAATTGTTCAACACCCATTAGCTTGAAAGTGCTACTGATATTAGCTCCAGCTCTGATACAGTGTTCAGTATTTTGGGGGGAAAAAAAAGAGAAAAGGAAAAAAAAAGTTGTGTCTAGGGAGTTTAAGTCATAGAAAGTCAGAAAGCGAGAGCCTCGTTGCTAATGAAGGTTTTCCAGGAAGCTTTAGTAATGATCATGATGTTCATGGTTTTCTACGCCGGGGTCAGTTTTGCCCTTCTGTAGACTCTGACTGTCACAGTGGGCAGGAAGGGATCCTTCTGCTCCCACAAGATGTGTGTGAAGCAAGGTTCTCTGCGCTGTCCCACGGCCTGCCTAGCAGTACAAATCCCCCAAGTGTCCTGTTGATGTTCCGTGCCTCTCTCAGCTGCTGGTCCAACTATGGGAAAGTAGGAGGTGGACAGACTGTCTCTGTGATGAAAGGAGGTTGCATGTGGAAAGGAATAATTCAACATGAACTGGACCATGCTCTGGGCTTTTTGCATGAACATTCTCGAAGTGACAGGGACGAACATGTGAAGATCGTGTGGGAGTACATCAGTCCGTGTGAGTACCTTTGAACTCCCCAGTGTAGTAAGTGGTGTGGGTACATCCTACTGGGCCCAGCTCTCCTTTCTTCCCTGAAGGGAAGAGATAGGAAGCGTACTACAAGTACGATATCATATATTGCAGCTGACAGATCAGACTTCAGGAAATTTGAAAACTCCAATAACCTGGATCTTCCATATGACTACTCCTCAGTTATGCACTACGGCCCGTAAGTAGCAGCATGGCACTGCTTTTGTTGGAACTCAAATCTTACATTAGAATTAGTTTCTGAAATAACTCTCTCCTAACTATCAATTTCCACATTTCCCCTTCTGAGAAAAACACTATGAGTCAGTTCAGGCAAGCCGCTCCCTAAGATTAATCCATTATCCTTTTGCTTTCGGTTAAGGAGCTATTTACTGAGCTCAGCTCAGGAGCACAGGAGGGTGTCTTGAGATTGACTCTGCCCACTGCTGGACGTATTCATCAAACCTATTTGAACAGCAGTGTTAGTCACAACAACCACCTGTGTACAGTTCTTGTTCCCCCTCCAAAGCATGCCATTAAATCCTGAAAGAAGCAATTGCACTTAAAGAATATAACTTTACATGGGGTTTTTTTTGCAGATACACATTCACTAATACCACTGGGAAAGCAACTATTGTACCAATCCCTGATGAATCAGTACCTATTGGACAGAGGCAGGGACTGAGCAACTTGGATGTGGCCAAAATCAACAAACTTTACAATTGTAGTAAGTATCTCAAAGCCATCCTTTCATCTTCTACTCAGATCCTTCACAGAGATGTTTAGGTACACCATAGAGGCAGCGGTTTCTCATCAAACACTGTGAGACTATTCTCCTAGATTCATGGTACCCATTGGAGTTACTCTGGGAGAGAATGCAAAGGTGAAGCTGGAGGCACATTGGGATTAGTGAGAAGGTGCTTTCTTCTTCCAAATTAGATCAAACACACTCACTAGTAGCATAAGTGGCTGCTGTGCAACTGGCATAACAGCACACAAGCTTGCATGCTTCAGTGGAGTAATGTGGTTTCTTGCAGCTCAGGTGAGAGCAATAAACCTCACAAAGAGCCAGTCATCTCTGTCCCTTAGTGCAGTTTGTATTCAAGACCCGAGATAAACCAGAACAATTGTAGGCTCCTCTGAACTGGGAGAGTTTCATGATGCGTTATCCACTTTTCAAATGTTTAAGCTGTCATTCTAAATTTGTATATACTTTTTAGTCTTTAATTTTAACCTCTGCTAGAAGAAATTCTCCCATACAATCAAAGGAATTTAGTCAAAGGGAAAAAACATGATGGATAAAGTATTACCCCTTGCACAGAGGAAAGCCCAAGTCCTCCCCCTAAGCTTAGAATTTAAGCATTGCAGAGACATCATATTTACACTTGACACTTCTAGCATGACTTGACTTCCCCATCTCGGTGGAAGAATGTCACCAACTGCAGTGAACTGAAACTCTCACACTCTTTACAAAGCTGCAGAAAGAGATCCCTTGCTAGGCTACTAAGCTAACCAGTAAAAGCTAATGCTTTTTCCAAGTACTACTTTCCATTTTGATGCAGACACTTACGCATTATGTGAAAATGGGGACAACATGTTTCTTCATTTTAATCGGGATGTACCAGTACTCTGAAATGAATGCTGGCAGCTCAGAAAAACTGAGGCCAGTCCGTTCTAAAAAGATTGTAATTGTAAATGACTGGAAGCTTCTGCAAGCCTGGTGTGGAGATGAACCTTGTTTCTTTCTCAGGTCGCTGCAGCACTATTCTCAGTGCAGCATCGGGGACACTGAGGTCTGCCAACCACCCAAGAAATTATTCAGATAACACTAACTGTGTCTGGCTCATCCGAACCCGACTCAGACAGGTAACCACAGGCTAATAGCGGTCTTGGAATATGGCTGAGCTTGCTTCTTTCTATGATAAGCATTTTGTGCTTTGTCTGCATACCAGTTGCCAGACAAGATCTTTTCCACGAGAGGGAGTTCAAACTAGTCTCTACTTCTTCCTCATGTCCTTAAGCCAGGTATGGGCAAAGACAACTGCAGAATTGCGATTTTGAGAAATCTCCATACGCTGGGCTTCAGGTTTGCAAAGTCGAGACAAAGCAGTCTGAGAGTGGGAACATTCAGTCACGGGCCTGTTAGATCTGAACGCTGCAGTGTCAGGGGTTGGGAGGCAAGGCTGGGCAAGCAGTTCCAGTATGGGCTTGGCCACAGCTTAGATTCTGTCAGTTTTAAAGGACACTGCATGGAAGAAGTCACTTACATGTGCATTAAAGGCTGTTTTTCTCTACCCTTCCAGATTTCCCTGCGATTTCAAGCCTTTGAGCTGCAAACAACCAGCGGCTGTCAGGGTGATTATGTTAAAGTTTATGATGGACCCAGCAAGTCTTCTGCAGTTCTAATGGACAAGACCTGTGGATCACAGATACCCAGTGTTGTAGTTTCTTCTAGTAATCTTATGCTCATAGAGTTTGTCACAGATGGTGCTGATACAGCTTCTGGTTTCCAAGCCACCTTTACAGCTGGTAGGTCTGAGAACAAGGAGAATGGCAAAGAAAATCAATCTGTCCAATCAACCTTCCTTTTTACAGAAGGTGTTTGATGAGCTCAGACTCCTCATTATTTGAGAAGCTTCTCTCTAAAGAGCCTTCACTTCCTGCCTTGCTTCTGATAATAATGGATATTCTATCAGTGGTGTTAGCCTGGTGATTCACTGTTTGCCTTGCCTCTCAGGTGTTTGCCATCCCAAAGCATGTGCCATTAAGGGTAACATCAATTTAATGTTACTGCCAGTGCCACTAGCACAGTAGAAAGAGAATCATAATGCAGTACTTAAATATATTGCTCCTCTGAAAAAGATGCAGATTTTAGTCACACAGGTCGGAGGGTAAGACAGATCTACAAGGGAACTGAGCTCTGTGGCAAGAAGAGAGGCCACATTTCCATGGTCAAGATCCCTCAAATGTAACCACCTAAACCACATTTTCTGCAGTCCTGTTTACTGAAGAACTGAGGCCACAGCCACGCAATTAAGCTTCTGAGTTAGCTTGTGTTGGCTGGAGGAAGGAAATGCCTATGTGCATATCTGCAGCCTGCAGTGGCTGAACTGTAGGGCAGCTTGCCGTAGTATGAAAGCAAGCTCAGCTCTGCCATTTGACCTTGTGTTTGCTGTGGGATAAGAACAAGCACACAGAGTTTGCAAAAATGCACTGAAATGTGGCAACTTAACCCGAAACAAAACAGCAACTTTGCATTGTCTCTGTGTAGAATCCATTTCTAACCAGTGTAGCTACAGAAGGAAAGAAGAATTCTTAAGAAAACTCCCCATGCCACTTGGATGTGTCAACAAGTATAAAACAATTCTGGTTGTCAAATAAAATGTGATTTAACATTTACCTATTTTAGAGATACTACAACTTGTTCAGAGAGCTAAATATTCTCTCATTTCACTTACAGTGAGAATCCAGAGAAAATCTAGAGCCCGCAACTGACTTAATGAAGAAGAACTTATTCTGTGAATATTGAAATTATGTGTTTCCTACTTTGCTCCTATCCTGGCTTGGATCAGTATGAAATTTAATTCTATTAAGAATCAAAGTTTTCATCTTCTTGAGAAAGTTTATTCTCCAAGCCATATAAATGTATGATTTCTACACATCCGATGTGCTCCTCCTTTTGTCTGCACAGTTAAGTTATTGCCTCTTTCTATTTAACAATTGAATAAAAAGCCTCATTTAAAAAAAATAATGTTGTTTCCATTTATGTTTTCCAGTAGTGCCTTCCAGCCATACACACTATCGAGGTGCTCTTACTTTTCAGCCCCTTCAGTCAGGCACGGGGGTACCTCTTCAGCGTGCCCCTGTCCTGCAGTTCTGGTGGGCAGGGGTGCTCCTTTATCCACAAGGCGGTTTTGGTCCATAGATATGGTTAAGCTCACCACAGGACAAGAGGTGGACTAGCTAATGGTGCCAGAGTTCACACACTTCTTCAGGGAAGAAATTTTTTGTCAGGCAGGAAGCTAAACTCTCCTCTTCTGATCTCATAAGGAGGACGGAGAGCTGTAACAGTTGCAGAGGTTCCAGAGAATTCACTCCATCGCCCTTTGCTTGCAATCACACTCTTGAAATGACATCGTCTCCATGAAGACAAGCCTGTAACACATCTGAGAACAGACCAGGCGGCTGTTTTACTCCCGTGACTAAGAATTTAATAACGCTCTGATCATCTGTGTATTGCTGAAATGATTAAGAGGTTTTCTTTTTAAGGGAAGCAAAAGTAATCTGTGTTAGCAAGAAATGAACCCAGTGGATGTTAAGACCCTGTGAATTCCCCTTCTAATTCTGCTGGAAGAGGAGCCCCATCCCTGCCAAGCGGCAGCCAGCTGAGCCCAGGCCCATGCATGGTTGGTGTAAAGGGGTAAGGTCAGGCATGAAGGAAGACCCAGATGAGGTTCAACCCAAGCATGTGGGCACTTGCTTGCCCAGGACAACTCCGGAGGCAGCAGCAGCTCAGGACACTCTAAAGGAGTTGTACCTCCACCTCTTGCCCTGCAGCCCAAGTATAAGCTCTTCCCGCATAGGTGGGGTTTCTCTCTGGCTCTGGGAACACGAACTAGGCTACGGGCAGGGCAGCAGGACTACTGGTGAGTAGCCAGCACCTGAGCTGCCAGCACCGGCAGCTTGGGGGCGGGCACCCCAGGGAGCATGGGCAGAGCCACCCTGAGCGGCGGGGATTGTAAACAACGTTGATCAGCTGTTAACGTTGATCAGCTGTTAATGTTAATCAGCTGTTAACTGTGCCCTCAGGGTTTAAAAAGCCTGCGGGAGGGCAGGGACTAGTCATTGCCCACCAGGCGCAGGGAAGGGTGACCTGCTTGCTGCCGGTGAGTACCAGCAGCACTGTGCTGCAGCGGCGGGTGGGATAGCTCGAGTAGTAGGGTACACATGCACTTTTTGCTTGTCAGACCCTCTTACCTGTTACCGGTGTCCCAGACCACTGTCGACCATGGGATCCATAAAGGGAGCTCGCCAGAAAAAGACTGTGTCAACTCAAATAGAGCACCTGCCCTGTACTGTGGGTGTTCAGGTCTCTGGCTGCAGAGAGCGTCAGAGCCTGCTGCTGCCAGGGGAGGGAGGTCAGTATTCCACCCGCATAAGGTGTGAGCAGGTGAATGATCTGCTTGCAATGGTTGCAAAACTTAAGGAGGAGGTTGAGACACTGAGAACACAAGAGGTTCCACCTAAATTTGAGAAGAAACTTCTCAGTAAGGGTAACAGAACACTGGCACAGACTGCCCAGGGATGTGGTGGATTCTCCTTCTCTGGAGACATTCAAAACCTGCCTGGATGCCTTCCTGTGTAACATCATCTAGGTGATCCTGCTCCGGCGGGGGGATTGGACTAGATGATCTTTTGAGGTCCCTTCCAGTCCCTAGCATTCTGTGATTCTGTGAGGGTCTCAGCCTAGGAATGGTTTCATGAGGCATCATGAATCCCTGAACAGAATCAGTTCTGGTTTAGCTCAAACCAGGACATGAGGATACTACCGAGCGGGTGTACACAAAGCCTCCTGGGGATGTGGCAGAACCTCTCTTTTAGGACACCAGCTCTTCCCCCAAACTACATCCATAGCAATCCAGCCAGGCCAGTCCCTGCAGAGAGATTCTTAACAGAAATACAGAGATTGGCAGGAATGTTGTAGGGATGGAAATGTGCACGTGTGAGAAAGCACTGGAAGAGGTGGCTGAACAAGGGTTACCAGAACAGCCTGTATTGATAACAAGGGGCATCATTCCCACAATGCTGCTGTCGTGACGCAGAGGAATGCATTGCTTATGGCATTGCTTATGGCATGACCACGTGGCCTGTGCTCCATTCAGGCAGCAGCAGATGCCTTGTCAGTGGAAGATTCTGCATTCACACATTGGCAAATCTGCAGCTACTAAACATGCCGTACCCTTTTCCTGTTACCCTGGCAGGAAAACAGGCATTTCCTTCCAGCTATGGCAAACAGGTTGTCAGAACACGAGAGGCACAAGGCTGTAATCCCCATGCTTATCTCAGTAGTGGTTCCACCTCATGGTCTGAACTCTTCTTCACTAGGGACTGTGCAGACATGGGACAATTCCACAATTGCATAGTTATAGGGTAAACTTTGTGTTTATTTACACACTCTTGGAGCAAGCATGTGGAAAACATACCTGATTCCATTGTATTTATCATATATTACTTTTACCATTTAGTCAAGGTACTGCAATTACACAGTATCTTGACTAAACCATGGCCCAGCAGTCCAAAGGCAATTCCAGCATGATGAACAATGACCATAACGATCCTTTTCCTTCAGATGGGTTCTCAAAAAACTGGGAGTGTGTGACATCCATTCTGCATAGAAAAGATTGTGCTGGAGAAGTGCTTATTCTTTATTAATAACTTGAAAGCTTGGCATTCTGGATATTAGTAGACCAGTGGATAAAAATTGAAATCCTTTTCCTGTGCGACCTGCTCTGGGTGACTCTGCTCTGGCAGGGAGGCTGGACTGCATGATATTTTGAGGTCCCTTCCAACCCCCAGCGTTCTGTGATTCTGTGAACACACCGAAGTGAGAAAGAATGGATGCTGTGGTTATGCTTAAACTTCCTTTTAAGCTCTTGGAACTAAAACAGCTGTCAATAGGAATGCAGATGTGCAAGAGAGCTTAAAGTATTTGAAATGTAGTTTTAGCTTTCACCAGAAGTAAAAAAAAAAAAAAAAGTAGCCTATTAAATCTGATGTGTTTTTAATCCTGCCTCTTTTCACAGTAGTTGGCAAGGTATTTTGATGGATGTAACAACAAATGTGTTTGATACAATAAGATTCAGGCTCCTCTGGGACTTTATTCCAGAAGAAGGCATTATTAACATTTTTAGCCAAAAGACGTGCAATTTCTAACACAAATCACAAATTGTTTTTTATACCTAAGCAATACAGAGATCTAAGATGATGGGCAATGCTCCAGTTCAAAGTGTTCCAGAGGCTGTAGCTGCAAAGTTTCTTTCTAGCATCCACCTGTGTTGGATACGTGCATGATATACTAAATATTCTTGGGAAAGGGATACACACTATTATATTTGGGTTGAGCAGGAAATGTTTGTAAAATATAATGTAAGTGAAAGATGAGTAACAGTGTATTTAAACTGACCAGTATTACCCCCAAATATTTTGTTATACTCTGCATTTAAAATATAACTACCGATAAATACCTTCACAAAACTAGACATATTCTTACTTTACTTAGGTTTGGAGTCTGTATCTGATTCTGTTTCTGTTGCCTACACCTTGATTTCACATGAGAAAGAATCTTAACCTCAACTATCCTGTGAGAGAACCTATTCTAGTAGTGATAATAGTGTTTATGTGGTTTTCGAAAGATAAACCCCATCCCCTTTCTTGCAGGATATGCATTTCTTCTCTCCCTAGAAGAGTATTTAGGACATGGCCATCCTGGTGTGGTAAAATGTAAAAGGAGACAGGCTTGCAAGTTACAGCATTTCTAAAATCCACATGTTTCAATTTAAGTCAACTGTGCAATGAAATGTTGATACTGTGTTCCATTAAACTTGTTATTACTCTTACTAATCTAGTCAGTAACCAAAAAAAGAGGCTACTTCTATGAGTAATTTATTCAATACTTTTTCTTTCTTCTGTTCACAGAATGCTCAGAAAATTCTTGTGTAACTTTATTGCCTGAGTTTCTAAATTTATTTGCAAAATGGTTTTCCTGTGTGAATATTATATGAGCAATTTGTTGTGGGTATTCATGATTCAAATTAGAGCATTAATTCAGTGCCTAAGTAGTACAATGCCTAAGTAATATGGTTTCTGTGTTGTAATTGTGACTTGTGCAGCTTATCCATGTATTTCCTATTTAGAATCTAATGTGTGAATAATCACATTCAAACATCTGTTTTGAGGCTATTTAAGCTTTCACATTTAAATTTATTTTTGCAAGTTAAAGTAAGGCTTGGGATTTTTTAATTCTAATGATTATTAGTGCTTTTTTTTTTCTCAGGTCTAATAATTGCATTTTGCTGGCCTAGATTTCCCCTGCATTTTCTGTTGAGTACAGTCTTCTCCCTTCACTTCATCTTCTAGACTATTTTGAAAAGTTCCTGTGGGCTGGGAAGGATTTGTCACAGTATGCTGCCAGTATCTTCATTCGAGTGAAATCTATTTATCCAGTGAAGCCTTTCGGGATACTTTGATGAAAGTTACACCAGGTTGTAAGATCTTTTGGACCGGGTGATTATGAGAGGTCCCATCCACCCTCAACCATTCTGTGACTCTGTGGGTGTAGGGGAGGGAGAAGTTAGGGAAAGAAAACAGGTGGTTGTACATTAAATGGAAAGTGTTGTGAAAGCATAACTGGGAGGAAAAAAGAGTTTGGGAGTTGAGGAGGGCCATCCCAGAACACAAAATAGCGTGCAGGAGCTGAAAATTGGTTTTCTTCCTGTGTAATATGATTTGGAGTTATTGGTTACTTCACACTGGAAATTGTGGCAGCAAACACATCGCAGAACCATAGATAACCAGATTGGAAGGGACCTCAAGGAGCATCTGGTTCAACATTTCTTGGCAAAAGCAGGATCTAGACAAGATGGCCCAGCACCCTGTCCAGCTGAACTTTAAAAGCATCCAGCACTGGGAAATCCACCACTTCCCCAGGGAGATTGTTCCAATGGTTGATTGTCCTTG